AAGATCATCTAGATCCAACCCCCCTGCATGGGCAGGGACACCTCCCACCAGCCCAGGTTGCTCCAAGCCCCATCCAACCTGCCCTTCAACACTGCCAGGGATGGGGCAGCCACAGCTTCCCTGGGCAACCTGGGCCAGGCTCTCACCATCCTCACACTCCACAATTCCCTCCTCATGTCTCACCTCAATCTCCCTCTGCCACTTTTCATCCATCCCCCCTTGTCCTCTCCCTCCCTGCCCTTGTCCTAAGTCCCTCTCCAGCTTTCCTGCAGCCCCTCCAGGCACTGTGTTTCCAAGCTTTTGAGATGGTACTTACAGAGTACAGGTTTGGTCTTGTCTCTTTCAGCTCCTCCCCATACTGGACAATGGCTTTCAGCTGAGGTAGTTTATGCTGAATCTGTGTGAAAAAGGAGATTTGTGAGAAGGAGCAAATCCTGCCTGTCCCTTTTAAGCCTCACTAACCCACTGCTTCACATGCTAAAGCTACTTGCCACTTGAAGAAAAGCCAAGAAATTCTCATCTGTTATTGAAAGAGAACAGGGAAGCCTCACTAGAGACAGTCATCATTTGGACTGGGATGTGGCCAGACAACCATGGGGTTGCTCAGTTGTTTGGTTTGGCTTCTCCTATTTTAAGCTCAAGGCTTTGCTAGGATGTGGAATCACCACTTAACTCCTGGTGAGATTTAGCAGTAGTAACTACCCACCTGGCTTGAGCAGGGAGCACACCAAGTAGGCCCAAACAGTTCACCTCTGGTTGCAGACCCAGCCTTCCCCTCAGGTATTACCCTCCCCAGCTGGCAGGAGGATTCTGCAGCCCCCAACCATTTAAAAAAAGTTTGTTTACTTCTAAGATTTTCTGCAGCTGTTTATTGTTTTCCACAACCACCACGTTGGCTCTGGAGTTCTCTGCTACATAATGACAGGCCTCAGGAGAGTTTGTAGTGTAGACACCAACAGCAAATCCACTGCAAAACAAAAGGAGAAAAAACCCAAAACTAAACACACACCACAAAAGAGTGGGTTTGGTTTTGTGTGGTTTGTTTTGGATTTGATCAACAGTTGCTTCTCTGAAATTACTGAAATTACTATCTCAATGCTGAAGCAAATGGGATGTCAAGAGACAAGAGTCACTCTTACCCTGCAAGGATTGCTCCTATGTCAGCAATGAACCACTCTGCAGAGTTAAACCCCAAGATGCACACTCCATGGAAACGCTCCAGTCCTAGCTGTAAACAAGAGAGGAGGTTACAGCAACCTTGGTTTTCCTTTGCAGAATGTTTGGAATCCAATTACAGATCTTTGCTGTGAGCATGGCAAGGGAATCGTTCATGCTGTTATATCACAGAATGGTTTGGGTTGGAAGGACCTTCAAGATCATCCAGTCCCACCCCCTGCATGGGCAGGGACACCTCCCACCAGCCCAGGTTGCTCCAAGCCCCATCCAACCTGCCCTTCAACACTGCCAGGGATGGGGCAGCCACAGCTTCCCTGGGCAACCTGGGCCAGGCTCTCACCACCCTCACACTCCACAATTCCCTCCTCATGTCTCACCTCAATCTCCCTCTGCCACTTTTCATCCATCCCCCCTTGTCCTCTCCCTCCCTGCCCTTGTCCCAAGTCCCTCCCCAGCTTTCCTGGAGCACCTTCAGGCACTGGAAGCTGCTCTAAGGTCTCTCTGGAGCCTTCTCTTCTCCAGGCTGAACACCCCAACTCTCCCAGCCTGGCTCCAGAGCAGAGCTGCTCCAGCCCTTGGATCATCTCTGTGGCCTCCTCTGGACTCTCTCCAGGAGCTCCATGTTCTTCTTATGTTGGGGCCTCCAGAACTGGACACAAGCTCCAGGTGGGGTCTCACATAAAGACAAGTAAAGGGGCAGAACCCCCTCCCTGGCCCTGCTGGCCATGCTGCTGGCGCTGCAGCCCAGGATATAGTTGGCTGAAAACTTAATACAGAACCAGTTTGTTTTCAGATCAATGTCCCACTTATCCACAGGCAGGAAAAACAAAAAGGATTTGCTTTGGTCTGTACTCAGCAGGACTAGCTCACCCATGCTAATGGTATGATGAAACTGCACTCCAGGCAGGGCTCAGTTCACACCTACTGAGACCATCTAGTAGATGTCTAGTCTCTAGACACTTAATACAGGTTAGAGATGTCAGGTATCAGTAACAACAAAAGCAACAAGCTCCAGTGACAGTCAGAGACACTTCACTGTGGAATTCCAGCTGTTGAAGTCCCAGACTTTAAATTTCCTACAGCTATCCTCTGTTTTTGTCCCAGGATAGAGTATATGGACTGGAAGATCTTACCATAAGAGTGAAAAGAGAGTGGCCTTAACTTCAAGAAATAAGACTTCATAGTGGTCACAGTAAGTACACATAATGTTGGTTTCTCTCTGAGGGTCTGAACTCCCAATAGTGCAGGCAAAAGGCACAGCCAGTTTGGACACAAATCTGATTCATAAGGATCCCTTCAGATTTTCCTCAGAAAGATTTCATGAGGGCTATGGTCCAGGTTTGCCATATAACTCAAACACCTCCCTTTAAATGTTCCCTTATGCACTTTTTTTTTAGTTGAACATGAAGCAACTGGCAAGAAATTCAAACAAAACCACTGTGGTAACTACCAAGCTGCTCATGGCATGGCCAGGTATTTCCCTGTCACTTTCAGACTTACCTACACTCAGAGACCTTAAAAGATTTAAGACATAGTTAACTACAGCCATTTCAGCAGCTAAACTGAACATGAACAAGGGGAACTCAACACAATCTTACCTTCAGAAAGCTTTTTGCTGCTTTGCAGCACTCCTTGTAGTACATCTTGTATGTTAGTTTTATCCACTGCCCACCTTTTTTAGATGCAAGGGCATAATAATCAGCATATTTAGTAGCAGCTTCTTGGAACAGTTGGTGAACAGTCTTTGGTGGGTGGCTGCCTATGCCTTGTTCATCCATCCTCAGCCTGACTTCCCCATCAGGTTGTGTTGTCCACACACTGGAGGCAGGAGGTGAAGAGGCTGGTTTGAAAGAAAAGTGTTCAGCAGCTTATATTTAGGAAGGGTTTGTTGCCATGACAGAAATATAAATACAAGTACCAAACATATGAAAAGAAATGCTATTATACCCACTTCCCTTTTTAACTTTGTCTTCTTGGCAAGTTTGCCACATGACTCCTGGTGTTTTAGACCAGGACTGACAGATGAAGCCTCTAAAGCACCTTCAACATGTTGTTAAACATTTCCCATTTCCATCCTGCTCTATCCTGCTTTGCTGCCCTAAAAGCTCTTGGACAGGGAAGGTGGCAGCACTGCAAGAATCACACACATTGTGCTTTTTTTCCTTCATTCTTATTTCTTTTTAAGGAGGACTGAAGGAACACAATTACCTGCTGAAAAGTGATGAACAGAAGCATCAGGCAGTGACACTGTCACTCCTTGAAGCTTTAAAGTCTAAGATGAGGAGGCTTCCAGAAAGACCATTCCATAATCTGAGTTTCTTCTTCCATTGCAACGGTTTGATAAATTCCTCTCTCATTTCAAGAATAATTTTCCACACATCACAGTAACTAAAATTCTTTCCACTCACCTTTGGAACCAAGAGTGCCTGTCTGACATCCCCCTGTCTTAGCTTCTGCAGCTGCCTCAATGCTGGGGACACCATCAGTTCTGCAAGACAAAAGCAATTAGTCCTGGATAGGCTGGAGAATGTCCTAGGCATCCTGCTCCACCACTTGATTATATTAATCCTTGGATGTCAAAAGTGGTTCCTGATGTGCTACAAGTGCCTTTATTAATGTTACCAGCCTGCATGGCTATGACAACAAAATGGGTCCCTCCTGGACAGTGTGTAAACTTTGCCTGCACTGCTTTTAAACACACACATTGTATCCCAATTTTGTCCCAGTATCATTTCTGAGAAGCTGCAGAAGAAACCATGAACACAGCACCCAGAAACCAGTACTAATTTGATGCCAGAGGTCTTCTCTAGGTACCTGGAACCAGGAATCTGCAGTGGGAAGGAGGAGCTGAGGGGCACATGGAGCTGGTGCTCACCTCCTGCTGCTGCTGGACTGTGAGTCTAGCAGAAGGGAGGCCCCAGCAGATGCTCTCCCAAGTGCCCAGCAATGTCCCCACCCTGGGGTGACCCACAGAGATCTCCTGCAGCAGGCCAGGCCAGCTAAGCAGCAGGAAATCCATTCAACAGGAAATTTTGTTCTTAGGTATTGGTAACAAGGTTAGTGCTCTGAGCTCCCACCAGATGTTTGAGCAGAAATGGGAGCAGGAACATCCCCCATCCAGCCCAGCCATGCTTCTCCCCAGGAACCTGTCCTGTGGTGCCAGCTGAAATTTCATAGAATGGTTTGAGTTGGAAGAGACCTCAAAGATCAAAATTTGCCCCTTTTGGTTTCAGCCTTGCAAGATCTGGTGAAATGCCACCTGCCCATGTTCATAGAGCAGTGTTCTTCCTCTGCCCCTTTCCAAGGCAGACTTTCTCAGAGCCCTAAGTGATGAGGATAAGGAGTAACTAAGTCACATGTCTCACTTCAGACCACAAGTTGGAAGCCATGCCCTGTGAGATATGGTACTTGAGCCCCTTTACTCCTGAGAAGGACATTGCTCCCTACAACCTACATGGAGATAATGGCTGTTCCCCTACCCCAGGCAATAACCCCCTCAGACCATCAGCATAGCACTAAGGTCCAAGGTTTAGCTGGCCCAAGACTATGTTCCAGAGACCCAGAACTTCCATCTTGCCTTGCCAAAGAGCACTCATTGATGTTTTGGATCTCGGCCATCACGAAGGTGTTTGTTTCTTCATGACAGTGCTAGATGTTTACTCTTATCAATGTTTGGTGCAAGGTTTGTCTCTAGCACCAGCTCCCAGGTGTTCTAGAAGGGCTGCAGGCTCCCGACATCACAACCGCCCTGGGCCCTCTGCAGCTCTGGGGCTCTCATGAGACCCCCCCCTGGGCACTCTCTCCAGTTCTGGAGCCCCCAACATAAGAAGGACATGCAACTCCTGGAGGGAGTCCAGAGGTGCACCTGCCCATGAAGGAGGGTTGGATCTACATGATCTTTAAGGTCCCTTCACACCCAAACTAATCTGGGTTTCTGTGATTCTATGATAAGAAGCCCCAAGATCTCTGCCTGCCACCATCAACCACCCCTGCACACAGGCAGCAGCTCCTCTGCTCCCACCCCCACACTCCTCAGCCCCACATTTTCTTCCCTTTCTTCTAAACCAAAGAGAAGACAAGTCAGCATGAGGCACCGTGTGACCTTCAGTTAAGGGCTAAATGGATTCCCTCTGGTTTCTGTCTTCTCTGAATTTCTAGGGTGTTATGTTTTTTTCCCAGCTATTATTGCTTTGAGCAGGTGCTCAACTTTGCCACAGAGAAGATCTGACACAGCTCCTCCCATGCACTGCCCCAAAGCAGAACTGCTTCTCCTCACTAGTCTGCAAGCTAGAAACCAGAAGGAAGTAAATAATCTTTTTTTTTCTTTATTTCCCCCCAAGGCATGACAAGATCCTTCCTACTACGCATTTCCTACTCATTATTGAGGGCATTTATCAGCACAGATTAATCCTCAGTTGCAGCAGTTCTGCACCATTTCTCCACCAGCTTGTATGATCAAAGCAACACAAATGACCCAGCAACAAGAACAAAAAAATCCCAGCTATTTCCCTTCCAGTGAATCAAGTCACTGTTTTCTCTCCCTTACTATATGCAATTCAAATACAGCCTGATAAAAAACAGGTGAATAGTTTTTTGTCAACTAATATCCCATGACACTGGGGTGAGATATAAACCTCACCAGCTCTTCAGTTGCTTAGATTTACAGAGAGACAAAGAGAAGTTTGATAAAAATCAGCATAAGTGCTGCCTCTAAAGGAACATCTGTCTGTTTACTGTGCAGCAGCACTTCCCAAACAATGTCCTACTTGCTAGGTATTCCAAGTATTTGATTAGTGCCCTCTCAATTACAGAGGTCAACAATTATGCAGAGTTCCTTAATAAGAGGTGATCTTTCTGACTATGGAGAATTATTCTGCCATTCCTGTGCAGGTTTAGATGAAATGCACCCTCTTCCATGCAGCAAATTTAATTCTGTTCCTCTTCTTTTGAGTGGTGAGATTGTACATTCAGCTTTTGGATTTTGGAATTAGTAACAAATGCTTGAAATTTCTTTTAAAAAATAATTCTTAATTAATCTAAGTGAACACAGTAGAATACAAACTCTATCATAGAATCACAGAATGGTTTGGGTTGAAAGGGACCTTAAAGATCATTCAGATCCAACCCCCCTGCATGGGCAGGGACACCTCCCACCAGCCCAGGTTGCTCCAAGCCCCATCCAACCTGCCCTTCAACACTGCCAGGGATGGGGCAGCCACAGCTTCCCCCCAAAGCAGAACTGCTTCTCCTCACTAGTCTGCAAGCTAGAAACCAGAAGGAAGTAAATAATCTTTTTTTTTCTTTATTTCCCCCCAAGGCATGACAAGATCCTTCCTACTACGCATTTCCTACTCATTATTGAGGGCATTTATCAGCACAGATTAATCCTCAGTTGCAGCAGTTCTGCACCATTTCTCCACCAGCTTGTATGATCAAAGCAACACAAATGACCCAGCAACAAGAACAAAAAAATCCCAGCTATTTCCCTTCCAGTGAATCAAGTCACTGTTTTCTCTCCCTTACTATATGCAATTCAAATACAGCCTGATAAAAAACAGGTGAATAGTTTTTTGTCAACTAATATCCCATGACACTGGGGTGAGATATAAACCTCACCAGCTCTTCAGTTGCTTAGATTTACAGAGAGACAAAGAGAAGTTTGATAAAAATCAGCATAAGTGCTGCCTCTAAAGGAACATCTGTCTGTTTACTGTGCAGCAGCACTTCCCAAACAATGTCCTACTTGCTAGGTATTCCAAGTATTTGATTAGTGCCCTCTCAATTACAGAGGTCAACAATTATGCAGAGTTCCTTAATAAGAGGTGATCTTTCTGACTATGGAGAATTATTCTGCCATTCCTGTGCTTTAGGTTTAGATGAAATGCACCCTCTTCCAAGCTCCATACTCTGTGTGGTAGCTACATGCAGCAAATTTAATTCTGTTCCTCTTCTTTTGAGTGGTGAGATTGTACATTCAGCTTTTGGATTTTGGAATTAGTAACAAATGCTTGAAATTTCTTTTAAAAAATAATTCTTAATTAATCTAAGTGAACACAGTAGAATACAAACTCTATCATAGAATCACAGAATGGTTTGGGTTGAAAGGGACCTTAAAGATCATTCAGATCCAACCCCCCTGCATGGGCAGGGACACCTCCCACCAGCCCAGGTTGCTCCAAGCCCCATCCAACCTGCCCTTCAACACTGCCAGGGATGGGGCAGCCACAGCTTCCCTGGGCAACCTGGGCCAGGCTCTCACCACCCTCAAAGGAAGAACTTGTTCCTCATGTCCAACCTGAATGTGAAAATGGGGTTTGGTTTCTTCAGGAGGGAAAAGAGAAGGGTTGGTAGCTGGAACAAGCCTTAGTACTCACATGATGATGGGGTATTGCTGAGAAAACAGCTTAAAATCTTAGAATCACAGACTGGTTTGGGTTGGAAGGGACCTTAAAGATCATCTAGATCCAACCCCCTGCATGGGCAGGGACACCTCCCACCAGCCCAGGTTGCTCCAAGCCCCATCCAACCTGCCCTTCAACACTGCCAGGGATGGGGACATTGTATGTATACAGAGAAAAGAAAATCTTAAATTAGACATACCTAGCTGAAGAGCTGAGCAGTACATCATCCAGTGACACCTCACAGTTCCCTTGAGGAGCTGAATTAAAACAAGCCGTGGGGACTGGTTCTGCAAGTGCATCTGACTCACCCAGCATTGTCCCTGCAAAAACAGGTTTTAAAAATGAAAATACAACCAAAAGCTACAGTTAAAATCGTCTCCCGTTGCTGTAGCTCTCTGACCAAAGCAGACACGACTCCCGACTGCTGTATTTGCATGAAATCCAGTCAGTTCTCCCAGCAGAGAATCCTTCCAGGGCTCTGCCTCGTGCTGGGTCTACTTGAAAACCCCTGCTCAGCAGCAGCTGGTACATCCATCCCCACCGCCCAAAAGCTGCACCACTACAGCTAGGAAAGAGCACCGTGACCCTGACGATTTACATTTCACACTCTCTTTGCCCCAAACGCCCTTTTCCTGCTCCCAATCCCCCCCCCCAAAAAAAAAAGAACAACCCGGCACCGCAGAGCTGCGGGTCCAGCCTTACCCCGCATGGCCCTCCCTGCAGCCCCTTCCACCCGCAGCCACCCCGCACCGGCAGCTCAGGACGACGCGGAATAAGCCTTTTCTTTTTAAACTAGCGCCCAGGAGGCTGATCCGGAGCATCTTATGTCATGTGCTGCCTGCCTCGCAATTGGAAGCGGCTCGTCACCCCACCCGTCGCCTCTCCAGGAAGCGCTGGCCCCGAGCCTGCCCACCGGGTCCCTCTGGAGGACACAGCCCTGGGACACCTCGGGGATTTAACCCTGAAAAAAAAAATCGGGGCTTTTGCAGCCTTTTCCCCTCCGCGTTTCCTCTCAGCGCTTGGGATTTCATCACCCAAACGAAGGCTGGAAGCGGCGCTGGGTCTGTTCGGGGTTCGCGTTCGTCGGAAGCCTCTTGGTGCTCAGGGCTGAGCTGTAATTGTTTGGGGGAGTTTCTAACCGGTTGGAGACAAATCTCATTCCCCCTTGATCTTTTTAAAAGGGGGGTTGAGCAGCCTGCTTGGTACCCGCAGCAGCCGGACGCCGAGGTCAAGGCGGGTTT